GGGGGGGTGTCCTGCACGCTTAGTGGACTGATGCGTGGACATGTTCCGGTGATGCTTTTTCCCACAGCATGGAGCTCAATAACCAGCACCTGGTCAATAACAGCCCAATGAGCCCAGTGTATGAAGGGAGCGGGGCTTGGACGTCTTGGAGTTGCCATACGTCGGAAGGGAGCTGGTGTCGCATAACACGCAGGGGGGGGGGCGCAGAGCCTTTTATTTCTCCAGGTTGTTGGCAACCCATCTCCGACAGGTCTTCTGAGGCGGAGCTGGCGTCGGGGCTGGCGGGCGACAAGGTGCGGCTGCCGTAGGAGGCCGAGGGGGCCGGGCTGGTGGTGCAGCTCCAGGAGGCCGAGGAGGCGGAGGAGGGCGCGGGGGACGGGCTGCCGTCGGCGCCGGCCAGGAGGGCCTCGGAGAAGAGGCCGCTGGCGCCGCCGTGGTCGGCCAGGCGGAGGGTCTCGCTGAGCGCCCAGATGTAGTTGTGGGCGAAGCGGAGCGTCTCGATCTTGGTCAGCTTGGCGTCCTCGGGGAAGGTGGGCAGGACCTCGCGCAGGGCGTCCAGCGCCGCGTTCAGGTTGTGCATGCGGTTGCGCTCGCGGTTGTTGGCCTTCAGGCGCCGGCTCTTCTTCAGCCGCTGCACCGTCTCCGCCGTCTTGGTGGTGGCCCGAGAGCCCCCGCTCCGCGCCCGCCCGGCCCGCCGATGGCAGCCGTGCCGGCCCAGGCCCAGGCCCAGGGGGCGGGGCGGCAGGTGGAGGTGCTGCTCCTGCTGCGCCTGCTGCTCGCCGCCGCCGCCTCCCGGCCCGCCGCCCGCCCCCGGGGAGAGGGTCCGGGGGGACGCCGACGCCACCTCCTCCTCCTCCTCCTCGTCGTCCTCCCCTTCGGAGCCGGAGGAGAAGGGCGGGAGGGAGGCGGAGGAGGCGGGCGACGGGCGGGCCGCCAGCAGCAGCGCTTCCTCCTCCTGCAGCTCCAGGCTCTCCGGCTTCACGAACATCCTGCAAGGAGAAGGAGGAGGGAGGGGGACAGCAGACGCGCCGTCAGCGCCGGCAAAGCCACCCGAGTTCCCGCGCCAGAGGCCGCGGCAGCGCTGCCCCCCCCCCTCCCAAACGCGCCTGCTCCCGCTGACCCTGCTCGGAGGACTCCACGTGCTGGAGGAAGCCGGACACCCAGAGCCGCTAACCCTCGACGGCCACCCGCGCCCCTTCCCAG